GCCAGACTCATGGAGGAGCCAGACTCATGGAGGAGTGATCACAAAGCAGGGTGGTATGCTGTACACACATACAGTGACGGACACAGACCCCTGAAGGGTGGAGCGCTGAGAAGGGGCTCCTGTCGTCTGGTGGTGGAGGGCAGGGCTGCTGTTTTGGGAAGACTGGTGAGGAATTGACACTTGGACTTATCCATCTTTAAGTGGGTGAAAGGCCATGATGTGGAAGAGACAAGAGCCGAGCAGCATCCGTCCCCTCTTTGAACAACAGTACCCTCTTAGTTTCAGCTGGGCACAGAGCACCCAACACAGCGACCGCGTTTCCCAGCCACCCCTGCAGCTGGGGTGTTGCCCTGTGACCAAGTTTTGGCTAATGGGATACAAGAAAAAAAAAGATGGATGCAACTTCTGGATCACATCTTTCTTTGGAAACTGCTCTCCCTCGGCCCTCCCTTCCCCCTGTCCCAGTGGGTGGTAAAAGGGGACAGTTGGAACAGCCACCTTAGTCCCAGAAGTGGAAGCTACCCACTGAGGCTGGGAGAGCCAGCCCTCCGGCTGGGGTCCCTGGATGAGCTCACGGAGCAGGACTAACTGCTGCCCTAGACACGGCTAGACGCGGCTTCCCTCTGGGCTGCTCGATGAGACAGAAGTGGATTTCTGTCTTCTTTTGGCCACTGTACTTGGGGGACCTTTATCACAGCAGTGTGACCTACAGCGACTCATTCGGTGCAGAAGGTGATAAGCCCTGTGCTGGCTACCTGGCCTGCTGACAGTGGCATTTACCTAACTAGATGCCAGTCCCAAGGTGAGGACTTCACATACTCAGCTGACCCAGGGCCCCGCTGCCCCCACAGCCTGGGTCCTGCCAGCCAGCTGGGACGCTCGGAGACTGCTTTCCAAATGGGGCAGATGGTCCTTGACTTTGAAGGACCTACCCCAGCTGTCCCCCCTCGTCTTATCACTGAGCCTTGTTTCTGTGCGGGGTATTTGGTTCCCTGCTTGGCAGTAAGATTTTTCTTGTTAATGCTTAATATTTAGGCTCTAATAGTTTCCCTTATTAAAGCTATGCAAGAAGAAACCGGGAAGTTGCTTAGCCACCGTTAGAAAGTCAGGGCCACCCAGAAAGTATTCCTGAGCCTAAGGCAAAGGTCCAAACAGTTGTTCTCAAATTTGAGTTGCAGTGAAATCATCTGGGGGAGCTTATTTAAAACTCTCATTCCCAGGGATTCCTGGGAATGCTAACTCAGTGGGTCTGGAGTGGAGTCAGGGAGTCCACATTCGGACACGCAGCAGAGTGGATCCTAACGCAGCTGTTCTGTGACCCGCACTGTGAGAAACTCAGGTTTTCAGGGTCTTCATAAAGACTGTGTTATTAAATGCGAGCCAGACACCAGGCACAAGCATGGAACCTCTCTTAACTGCGTGCTTAGGTCCCTGGTCAAATTTCTAGGGAGTCAGTGGTAATTTCTGAGGGTGCACGTCAGGGTTATGAGGGGACTGGGGATCTGTCGTGTGCCGTGTTCACTACGCCGTGACTGGAGAGGGGAGCCCAGACCAGTCAGAGGAGGGTGAATTCCGCTTGAGACAAGCTGGGCTTGAAGAGCTGTCAGCACAGCCAGGTGGGGATGTTGGAGGGGTGGCAATGGAAAAAGGCACATTGTTACGTGATCTCTAAGGCTCTGCCAGCCAGCAGCAGTGGTGGCAGCGATCGCTCATACGTGTATCAGCTTCAGCAGGCTGTTGAACCGGTCCACTTCTTGTCCAAGGACAGTGGTCAGGGAGTTGAGGCGTCCTTGAGGATCCTTGATGAAAAGGCTCTCGGACGCACTCTCCATTTCCAGGGTTTCTGAAACACACACGGCTGATTTGTCAGATCAGTCATCACTGACTTCTGGCCTTATAACGTCGCTGCTGGAACGCACTTATCTTAACCTTCCTGAAAGCCACCTTCTCCTGTCCCTGGGCCTGGGCTGAATGGGGGTCAGGCCGTGCAGACTTCAGTGGCACGTGCTCGCAGGACAGGCAGCGACCTGGTCGACGAGGGATGTCCCTGAGACCAGAGGTGCCCGGGACCCTGAGTCTTCTCCGCCTCGTGTGTATGCGAGGTCCTCAAGCCGCACTCTCCCCTCACACCTGCACTGCGTCTAGGAGAGCGGCGTTGGACTTTTCTGGACTTCGCCCCGTGAGCCTCTTTATCTGGCTGTTTATCTTTATCCTTTGTTATACCCTTTAAAATAAGCTGGTGAATGTAAATAACCGTTTCCCCGATTTCTGTGAGTTCTAGACAATGACTGAACCCACAAAGGGGGTTGTGGGAATCCTCGGTTTATAGCTGGTTGGTCAGAAGTACCGGTTACAACCTGGGACTTGTAACTGGCATCTGAAGTGGGGGCAGCCTTGTGGGACCTAAGCTGCGGGGTCTGTGCCAACTCTGGGTCGTCAGTGTCATCATTCAATTGTTTACCATCCAGTTGGTGTCCAGGGAGTTGGAGAATTGCTTAATGGGAGGGAAAAACCCATTTATTCGGTGTCAGTATTGTGAGGAGAGAGAGGAACACAGTTCACTATTACACTCAGTTTTTTATCCCCTACCTTAGCTTTCTTTTCCTATAATGACATCTCTTCCAACCATGAACGATAGATTAAGAAATCTAAGTATACAGTCACTCTAGGAAAAGTACGAAAGTGGATCTCTGTGGTTATTCAGGAAGATTCCTTAACTCACCAGAAAACAGGGTGAAATAATTTCGCCACTTCCCTTGAACAGAGGGAGAAAAGTGAAGTGGCTTCTAGGGCAGGGCTGTCCCACAGAATGTTTTACTGTTGGAATCGTTCTCTATCTGTGTTGTTCCATGTGGCAGCACTTGAAGGGCGGCTCGTGCAACTGAGGACATGAATTTTAAATTTTATTTAATTTAAATTTAAGTTTAAGCAGCCACATGTGGCTGGTGGCTACTGTCTTGGACAGCTCAGGTCTAGGGACATTAGGAAGCTCCGGAAAACGTCTGGTTAAAGTTTCATTGGGCTGGAAACTAACTTGCCCCTAGTGCTTCTGGAAGTGGAGATCTGGACACCTGCTTCTCACTCAGCTCTCTGAGTTTATTCCTCAAAGTCCCTCGATACACAGAGGCCAGCAGTTATTTACTACCTGGAACTCTGGTCTGGACAGAAGCAACGAGTTCTTGGACAATTTCATCATTGCTCTTTCCTGCTCCACCAGAAGATGACCGTGGCTGAACCTCCAGTATGGTGTTGATTAAAGTGCTGGTCTCTTTGTACTGTAATGGTGAGAAGAGACAGAACAGTGAAGACCCAAGTTCTCAAAAATAATTTTGCAGCACACATAGCTTATTACAGAAATAATGGCAGTGGTCAAAAACAAATTTTATTTTTCATACTGAAGACAGAGTTGGTAAAATGTGCTCAGTAGCTGTCAGTATCATATGTAAACATTTTTGGTTGAACAACAATGTGAAGATACTGAATGCCACTGAACTGTGTACTCAAAGATGGTTAAAATGATAAATTTTACGTTATATGTGTTTTCCCACAGTAAAAAATCATTAAACAATTTTTGGCTAATTATTTAAAAGGCAGTTATGAAAGTGAAGAAATAATGACAATTCAGCTTTAGAACATACTTTAAATAACATTTTTCTCAATTAGAAAAGTACAATGGCTTATTATTGAAAATGTGGAAAACACAGAAAAGCATAAAGAAAAATTATCTATAATCTTGCTTTCTAGTGATACTTACAACCCTACCGCACCTGATGCCCTCGGACATCTTCTCTGTATATGTGCATGTAGTTTAAAAAATTAGCCCATAAAATGTATGTACTATTTGTTCTTTTTCAGTCTCATAAACATTTTCTCATATCACTCAAAAACCTCCGTGAGTCATGCTCTAAGTGTACAATACTTAGCGGTATGAACACACAGTAGTTAATAGTTTATTTACTTTTTGGACATGACTTTTGTTTTTTAGAACTCTGAATAGAATATCTGTATATGAATTTCCTCCACCATCATTTAACTTCTTTAAATGATACATTACCAAAGAAATAGTTTAAACCTGTGCACCACTATATTGACCTCTAACAGCACTGTATCATTTATACACCCGTCTGTGTGTTTCTGGTTTAACTGGTAAAAAAATAGCTTTTCATCGTTTGCACTTCTTTGAGGATTATTAGAGTCAAACATTAAAAAGAAAAGTTTGTTGGCTGTCTGTATTATGTCTATAAATTATCTATAAATTTTGTACATTTTTGATTTTTTAATGTTTTTTATTGATTTATAAGATAATTCTATAAGGATAATTAACTTTTTTTCTAGTGGTAAAATACACATATCATAAAATTTGCTATCTTAACTCTTTTTTAAGTGTACAATTCAGTGGTATTAAATACATTAATAATGTTGTGCAACCGTCACAACCATCCGTCTCTGTAATTCTTTTCCTCTTGTAAGACTGAAACTCTGTACTCATTCAACAATAACCCCTCACTCTCTCCTCTCTCCAGCCCCAGGCAAGCACCACTCTACTTTCTGTCGCCAAGATTCTGACGGCTCTAAATACCTCATGTAAGTGGAATTGTACAGTATTTTTTTTTTTTTACGTGACTGGATTATTTCACTTAGTGCCCTGTCCTCAAATGTATTCATGTTGTAGCCTGTTACAGAATTTCCTTCCTTTTAAAGGCTGAATAATATTCCACTGTATGTATACACTGTCCTTTGCTTATCCATTCATCTGTTGATGGACACTTGGGTTGCTTCCATGGTTTAGCTATTGTCAGCAGTGCTGCTGTGAACATGGGTGTGCAAATAACTGTGTGTGTGTCCCTACTTTCGATTCTTTTGCATATAAATCCAGAGTGGAATTGCTAGATCATACAGTAAGTCTATTTAAAATTTTTTTGAGGAATTACCATGCTGTTTTCCATAATGGCTGTACCATTTTACACTCCCATCAACAGGGCACAAGGGTTCCAGTTTCTCCACATCCTTACCAACACTTGTTGATCTCTGTTACTTTGATAGTAGCCGTCCTAGTGGGTGTGACGTGGTGTCTCACACACAGTAGACAGGATCTGCATTTCCCTAAAGGGTAGTGGTACTGAGCATCTCTTCATGTACTATTGGCCATTTATGTATCTTCTTTGGAAGAATGTATATTGAAGTCCTTTGCCCATTTTTGAACTGCTTTTGTTCTTTGGCTGTTGAGTTTTGGGAGTTCTCTTCATTCTGGACACCAATCTCTTATCAAGTATGTCATTTAGAATATTTTCTCCCATTTTGTGGGTTGTCCTTTTACTCTGTTGATAGTATCTTTTGCTGCACAAAATTTAAACATTTTCATGAAGTCCAGTTTGTCTGTTTTTTCTCTTGTTATTTCTGCCTTTGGTGTCATATCCAAGAAATCATTGCCAAATCTAGTGTCATGAAGCTTTTGTCCTATGTTTTCTTCTAAGAGTTTTATATTTTTAGGTCATATATTAAGGTCTTTGATCCATTTGGAGTTAATTTTTGTATGTGGGGTTAAGTAAGGGTCCAACTTCATTCTTTTGTATGTGGATACCCAGGCACCATTTGTGGACAAGACTGTCTTTTCCCATTGAATGGTCTTGGCACCCCTGTCAAAAATCATCTGACCATATATGTGAGGCTTTATTTCTGAACTCTCTGTTCTACTCTGCTGATCTGTATGTCTGTCTTCATGCAGTGCCAACACTGTTTTGATTACTATAGCTTTACTGATTTCTAAGTTTATCCCATTGTAGTCGGAGAAGGTAATTTGTATGTTACTCATCTTTTAAACTTTAATTGATGATTAATTTGGGGTCTGACATATGGTTTAACTTGGAAAATTCCCCATATGTGGATGGTTAACTTTGTCTTTTCCTGTTTTGTTGTTTGTTTCAAAAATGTTTCACTTTGTCATTTGTTCTTAAAATTTTCTTATGACTTTTTTGATGTAGTCACACCTGTTGGCTCTTTCTTACGTGATTTATTTTTCAAATGCTTTTCATGCTTAGAAATTTCCATTCCAAGGTCAGTTAAATAGTCTCAATTTTTCTAGATTTTTCTTTTATTCAGAAACATGGTATCTTCTCATGTATATTTG